CCTAAACCCTAAACCCTGAACGATCAAGGCCCACAGGAACCTGACAAGCAAAGCCTGCTGCACACCTTGCGGCAACTTGCAGGTTCCAAACAACCCCCATTCAAGGGATACGGGTTTAGGGTTTAGGGTTTAGGGTCTAGGGTTCAGGGTTTAGGGTTATCGGGAACTTGTATCATCAGCCGTGAATAGTCGAGTCCTTGCCGCAGGGGCCCTAAACCGCAGACATGTAAACTACTCTCAATAGGGATATGGGGGTTTCCGAAAATTGGGGGGTACCTTATTTTGGGGTCCTTGTAATAAGGAACTTATTGTTTAGGGTACTAGATTAGGGTCCCCTAATTTTCGGAAACTCCCATGTCGGAGCTCCAGACAATCACAGAATCTTGGGTACTGGGACCCTTACATAAGGTAGCCCAAATGCTTGGAGACCCTGTATACCCCTATCACTGACTAAACCCTATGGTACCATCGTGGAAAAGTTAACAATAACCCCAGCTCATAAAAACAAACCCTGAACCCTAAACTCTAACACTAAACCCAGAAAGCCACAAACCCAAAAAACCCTAAATCCATAAACTCAAAAAAAAAACTCAACCCTCAAACTCTAAAACCAAAAGGGTCCAAACGCTAAACCCGTAAACCCTGATATAGAGCCCCATAGCACCCTTTAAAGGAAACCCCAAAAAAGGATCTGAACCTCAAGTAGGAGAAAGGATTCGGGGGATCCTTGGAGATGTAGACCCTCTCAGTAAGGTCCCTTTTAAGAGGGCCACAAGTCAGGTTAAGACGGGTCCCCTTTAAGGAGTCTCCCTTTAGGGGGTCAAAGGCCTAAACCCTAAACCCTAAACCCTAAACACCCTCTTTCATATATATATATATATATATTTAAACCCTATACGATTTCGTGAACTTTTGAAAATTCTTTTCAAATGTCCGCGAAATTTGGCCCGTTTTTTCAAATGTCCACGAAATTTGGCCCGTTTTTTTAAATGTCCACGAAATTTGGCCCGTTTTTTTTTCAAATGTCCACGAACCGCTCGTTTTTCAAATGTCCACGAAATCGGACAGGGTTTACTTAAATCCTGTCCGATTTCGTGGACGTTTGAAAATTCCAGGCTCGTTATTTCAAATGTCCACGAAATTTGGCTCGTTTTTGTCAAATGTCCACGAAATTTGGCCCGTTCTTTTCTTGTGTCCACGAAATTTGGCTCATTTTTTCAGATGTCCACGAATTTTTTTCAAATGTCCACGAATCGGACAGGGTTTAACTAAACCAAGTTGGATTTCGTGAACATTTGAAAAATTCGGGCCCCAGCCCCAGTCCTACACGGCAGTTGTGGTCGGAGGGTGGGGTGGGGAATGTCTAGCATGGCGTGAGCGGTTGTACATGTAACAACTAAAGTGATTTTCAGGCTCAGGACCGAATGCTGAAGCATATGGTTCGAGGGTGGGGTGGGGATTGTTCAGTTGTTGTGTGGGCGTCAAGAGCAGGCGTATTAGCTGCAGTCAAGTGAAAATGAAGTCGTATATTTTCCCAGTCGTGACACAAACACAAGCAAGCCTTAGCTGCATAGGCGATGGATTTTGGAGGCACGCACTGCTGGTGCACTGCATCGGTGTTAAAATCAGCGGCAGGGTCTTCGCTGTGTCTAATCATCGACTTGAGACTCAGATTCCTGGTTTGGCATGGAATCTGAACTCATGTGAACTCCGGTGCTACTTGAGGAGCCCTCACTGCTGTGGGAGAGGGCAGTGACTGTCGGACACTTATCGACAAAGTTCACGAGAAACTCGGCAGCGTCCTCTTGGCGACCCGCGTAATACAGGTCCGTCATCGCCCGCGGCGTCTGCTCGCAGCCCGTCTGCATCCGTCGCAGTAGCTTGTGGAGCTCCTCCTCCAGAGAGCTTTGTTGCCGGGCGCTTAGAGCCCGCACCACCGTCGGGATGGCGAGAATGGCTTGGATGGAGGCGTTGATGAAGCAACTGTTTCCCAGATTCACTAAGCCGCTCAAAGGCGGTTGGCCTGCCATGCTCGCCGAAGTCGCTGAGGAAGGCATCGAGGCATCGAAGCTGGACTTTTCCAGCTTCGTCAAGATAGATGTTGTTGATCGCGGCCGCTTGGACTCCGCCTGGTCCCTGTCCGAGTCAGGGTCCAAGTCAATCACTGCGGAGCACGGTTTCAACTTCCACACGGTCATGAAGAGTGTAAAGGTATGAGCTTGGATCGCAAACTTGAGCAAACGCTTCATACCTGTGACAACATGAAAGCTAAGTGGCAGCAGGATTTGTTTCCTATCTTTTGACTTGGTAAGTTTACATAGAACAGCGAAGACAGAGATTCCGTGGTCGAGCTACGTGGATACATTGAGCATATCCGCACTTCGCAGAGGTTCTGGCACTGCATATTTTACGCGTGAACAGTCGAGGTGGCCATCGGGGACTTGAGCACGGCCGTGTCTTGCACACGCAACCGCGGCGACGTCGCCGAGGCGGGCTGTTCAAAATCTGTCCATTGGAAAAACGAGTCGTCTTCCTTTCGCCCTCACTGACCAGCCTCGGCGACTACAATACGGCTAAAGCTGAAACTGCCTTCACCTACAAACCTTCCGCTGAGCCATTCGCCATGGAACTCTTCAAAGATTCTGCCCAGGCCTCGAACAGAGATGGTGTCATGTCTATCTCTGCACTGAAGATATCCTCTAAGCTTCCTGCGACTAAATCTCCGCGATGCTTGGGGGCGGATAGTTTCCATTTATCGCCCATGGTGTTAGCCCAGGCGACGTCTGCACGGCACACCCGCACTTCCTCGGTAGTCGAGGCATACCTCTCCGCAGGAAATTACGAAATCCGAGCCAAGGACAATGTGCGTCACGAAGCCGCTTTCGGGCACGACGGCAATTAAGCGCTCTTCGGCCCAGTCCGTGAACTTCTTAGCCTGATGATAACAACAACACTGATGCAAAGACATCCGTGCGGGGAGAACTTCGCTAAGGAATAATAAAACAAACTTTGTATTTTCTTAATGTTATGGGAATCTAAGGGTGGGTGGGTATTATATCAAAACCATGAATACAGCTATACTGTAACACT